TAGTGATACTGCCTCGGAAACCCAAGGAGGGGTCACTATGAGTCGGGTCTGACTCAATGACACATAACAACAACAACAACAACAACATCACATTAATGATATTGTTTGATAATTTCCACATTCTATTGGATTACCTTTCTTTTGAATGGGCATGAATATGGCTCACTTCCAGTTGGTTGGTCATGTAGTTGAGTTGCCTTCGGCACTGCACCACCAGAGTGCATAAATAAGAAACATTTTGACATAGATGAATGAGAGTTTGCAAAATTGTATTAATTTGTTGAAGTATCTCAGTTGGTATTCCTTCAATTCCTAGAACCTTGTTTGTCACTAATACATTCAGTACAGCTTGGATTTCTTCCTTCAAAGCCATCTGACCTTGATCTTATTCTACTTCCTGAAATGGTTTAATGTTGACAAATTCTTTTTGTTACAGTGACTGTGTATTCTTTCCATTTTATTTTAATGCTTCCTGCACCATTCAACATTTTGCCCATAAAATCCTTCAATATTGCAACTTGAGCCTTGATTTTTCTCTTTAGCTCTTTCAGCTTGAAAAATGCCAAGTGTGTTCTTGCCTTTTGGTTTTCTAACTCGAGGTCTTTGTACATTTCACTGTAAGACTTTACTTTGTTTTCTAAAGCTGCCCTTTGAAATCTTATGTTCAGCACTTTAATTAATCATTGTATCCTTTCATTTTAGCTACTCTATTTTGATGAACAAGTTTTGGAGTGTCTTCTGACATCCATTTTGGTCTTTTCTTTCTTTCCTGTCTTTTTCATGACTATAGTACTTTAATGACCTGTGAAAATAGATGCACATTCTGACAGCCTAGTTGAATTGGAGAGCTATTTAACTGTTAAAATTGAGATAAATGAATCAGTTTATAACAAACACCCTAATAGTCCTTTCACAACTAGATAAACTTTAACTCTGAAAAGATGCAAATCAAGAGCTAGTCCAAGCTAGGTATTTCCATCTGAAAATTAAAAATTCTAGTATATATCTATTAAAAGTAAAAATATGAACTTGAAAGCAATATTTTTCCTTGGCAAGCTTACTTTCATGTAATTTTATGAAATTTAATTTCTCTCACTTAATAATTCTAAATTCAAGATACCTGTATTGGGATAAGGGGAGCTCTGGTGGCGTAATGCCTAAGACATTTGACTGCTAAACAGAGGCTGGTGGTTCAAACCCATCAGCCACTCCTCAGAAGGAAGATTGGGCAATCTACTTGTGTAGTGATAGTACCTCTGAAATCTAAGGAGGTGTCGCAATGAGTCGGATCCAACTCAATGGCAGTGAGTTGAGTATGTTAGAATAAGCCTGTGGCAATGCAAATCATAAAATAATAAATAACTAAACTTCAGATGCTGAAAGGTAAAAATGTTTCCTAAAACCAGTTACTCTGACTGCCTACCATGTATGTTATTTGGAAAAAATAATGAAAGAATGATTCAAGCATAGTGAAATAGTTATGAGCACAATCTCATATCTGGATTCTCTACTTATTAACCATAAGAACTGAATGAATTACTTAAAGTCTAACTTTTCATTTATCTATCTGTAAAGTAGAAGGGAAAACACAGAATTCATAGCTCATTGTAAGGATCAGATTAAAAAAAAAATTTAAACACTTAGCATGGGGCCTTTCACATATATGTATGCCTAGCATAAATACACACACACACACAATATTCAACTTTAGCTAGAATTCTTTTGAAAGAATTATTCCTTCAGAATATTCATCTAGAGTAGTTTAACATGCCACTAGACATTTACTTTTCAACTTTCCATGTCTTTTTTTGGACCCAAATACAGTGAAATCAGTTTCTACCCTTTTTTATCAACAACAAAAAGAAAGAATGAAGGAAGGAAATAGTGGGGGGGTGTGAAGAGGAAATGAGGGAGGAATGAAGCTAGGGAGGGATTAGGAAAGGAGAGAAGAAGAAGGAAGGAAATCTCAATCTCAAAATGACTCTGAGTGACCCCTCCTTGGATTTCCAAGCTCTGGTAGCATAGTGCCTAAGACACTTGACTGCTAACCAGAAGGCTGGTGGTTCAAACCCACCAGCCACTCCTCAGAAGGAAGATGGGGCAATCTACTTCCACAGTGATACTGCCTCAGAAACCCAAGGAGGGGTCACTATGAGTCGGGTCCGACGCAACGGCACATAACAACAACAACAACAGCATCACTATGGAAGTAGATTGCCCAGTCTTCCTTCTCAGGAGTGGTTGGTAGGTTTGAGCCAACAGCCTTCTGGTTAGCAGTCAAATGGCTTACGCACTATGCCACCAGAGCTCCTAATACATATGCTGGTGTCTGTATTTGTCTGGAAAGGATTTCCCACAGATTTAATTACAATCACAGATCATTATTTCAAACAGGCTGCACCTTTTAGATATAGAACTACATGTTCTCATATCACGGAATTCAAATGTTAAGTCATTTACGCTGTGCTTTCACAGCAGTGCTGTTTTGTGTGTTTTAAATAAGTAAAACAGAACATACAGTGGTTGTAACTGCCATCACTGAAAATCTGAGGAAGCACACACTGAGATAAAGTATTACAATTCCAAGAAGAATGATAGCTTCTTAACCTTTAGTTGCTCATTATGTGTTTCTGAAGTTTGTACATTGAAGATCAATGTAGAGACCCTTAGCATAGGACATTATAACAGTGCTGTGAAAGCTCTAACAAACTGTTTAAAGGACAATAATATAAATTTCAATAGAGAAAAATCTAAAGCATGGGTAAAAGTCCATATTTAGGGTTTTTAATAACTTATCTAATAATTTACATGTTAAGAACATATTGAATAACTTGGGAACATTTTCTCTGAAAGAATTCTTTAGCATAAGCTTTAGCTTTGCTACTGTGTTAATAACATCTTTGATAAAAAAAATCTAATAAAAAAAGACAATTTCCTTCAGGTGTTATCTGTGTCTAAAATATTCTTTACTGGTTTCACATGCACTATAATATGAACAAGGTAATTTTTCTGACTCAGGTGGGACAAGATTTGCAGTAAGAAGTGCAAAATTCATACTTAGCTGTTCTTTAAGAAGTCTCTGCAGTGTTTTTCTGTTTATATAAAAAAGAGTTCAGATGTTGCCTCAGGCATCTATTTCTGTTTTCTCAAAGTGAGCTGAAGCGCCACATCTCAAATTGTTTTTCACAGTTAATGTATTCCTTTCTCTTTCAATTTCTCAGAGAGCTGATATAGGGATCTCTGCGTTAACCATCACCCCAGATCGTGAGAATGTGGTGGACTTTACAACACGTTACATGGACTACTCAGTGGGTGTACTACTTCGAAGGGCTGAAAAGACTGTGGATATGTTTGCCTGTCTTGCACCATTTGATCTCTCTCTGTGGGCCTGCATTGCTGGCACAGTCCTTCTGGTGGGACTTCTGGTCTACCTCTTGAACTGGCTTAATCCTCCACGATTACAAATGGGATCAATGACTTCAACTACTCTCTACAACTCCATGTGGTTTGTTTATGGATCTTTTGTACAGCAAGGTAAGGAGAAAAAGTACAATATTATTTTTTAAAAATGCAATGTTCCAAATGTCATGGATTCATTTACAAAGGTTCTGTGTCTGACTTCAAGTCTTCAAAAGAGTCCTTACATTAATGTTCACAAAAGAGCATTTCCTATTCTCTCCTAGTGGTTTTCAAACACAGCAGGTTTCCAGCAATACTGGTTCATTGTCTTTTGATGTAAGTTCATCAAAAAAAGGCAAAAATGATTGCCAGAAGTAAGGCTCACAAAAAACCTCTGGATCAATTTTTCCTCCCCAAGTTCTCACATTTTACTTACCATTAGAGCAGATACTGTTTAAATATTTACATATGCAAGAGAATATAGGATTTTTCTCTTTCTTCAAAGACATTATTTCATATATTAAAATTACAGGAAAAGGCTAGTTCATTATGTACTTAAAAAAGAAGACTTGTCTTTTATTTTTCACTTTGTTGTTGTTATCACATGCATTCGAGTCAGACCTGACTCACAGTGACCCCTTCTTGGGTTTCTGAGCTGGTCACTGGGGAAGTAGATAGGCCAACCTTCCTTCCAAGGAGTGGCTGGTGGGTTTGAACCGCCAGCCTTCTGGTTAGCAGTCAAGTGCCTTAGCACTATGCTACCAGAGCTCCTATTTTTCACTTTATTATATAAAATTTATCAACAATTCAACTTAGAATTTCATTATATTCTAAAGAATGTCTTTGCTTTGCTATTCAGTATCCAATCTGCCTCACTTGTCAAAATATGATGAATAATTCTATGGTTTTTTAGTCTCACTGTTTCAGAATAGAGTAACATTTATTGAACTCCTCATTTGGAACTACTGTTGTCATACCCATCCACTGCCATCAGATTGATTCCAAATCATGGTGACTGCCATAGGGTTTCCAAGACTGTAAATCTTTATAGAAGCAGATCACCTCATCTTTCTCGCTTGGAACTGCTGTTAGGTTCGTGCTGCTGACCTTTTTTGTTTGTAGCCCAATGGCTTCACCACAGTGCCACCAGAATGCCTTTCTGTTGTCATAGAGAATGAAATAATAAAACACTTAGGGAATTAGTAGCTCTTGCACATTTGGCACGTGTATTGAACACAAAAAGTATATGTCACAATGAAAGCACATGATGTTCTTGCCTCAATATTTGTAACTTTTAATATCACCTAACCTTTTTTGATAGTTGGGGTTGTGTGTCAACTTGGCTGGACCATGATTCTGAGTGGTTTCTGCAATTGTGATGTGGTTAGTCCCATGATATCAGATGTAAAACTTTGAGAAGCCAATCCATTGAAAAGGAGTTTCTGCAGGGTTGTGGCCTGCTTCCAATATATATATGGACGTCCTGAGAAAAAGAGAGAGCCCTCTGTGGGTCTGGATCATGTTGTGCTGCCTACAACAGTCCATGAGTGAACAATCCAGCATTCTGCCTGGTGATTTCAGATTCCTCATCCACCAAAGTCAGTACCTGGTATTATACTGCCTGCCAACCTTGAGTTTGTCAGTCCTTGCAGCTGCGTGAGTGGGGAATAGGCTGTAGTTTGATATTTGATCCAGGAACTTGGGACTTGTCAGCTTCTATAACTGTATGAGCCATTTTTCTAAGATAATTTTTTTTCTCTCTCTCTAACCTTGGTGGTTTTGATTCTCTAAAAACCCAGCCTAACACACTTTTTATTCATGCTTCCAATTGGACTTTCCATTAAATTTCATTCCTTTTCTTGTCATTTAAGTTATAAAAGATTTATCGACACTCTTCATTTCTGCTTTCTCTCTTCTAATATATTCCAATATATTCAAACATACAGAGAAGCATGCTTCTCTATTCATCTTTCTGTATCAGAGTTCTTACTAAGATTAGCTGTTATTTTATACCCACCATGGAAAAGTTTACTCCATTAATTAAACATTAATTCAGTAAGTATTTATTTAAGTGAAACTCTGCTAGACACTGAGTATACAATGATGAGTTATCGAGTCTTTGCCATCATTGGAGTACAAGTCTAGTGAGACACAAACATGTAAACAAGCAATTACAATTTTATGTGGAAAGTGCTTTGTTAAGGATATGCACAGATTTTTATGAGTTCTGAGATAGAGAAGCTCAATACATCTTGATGTAGCGAAGAAAGCTTATAAAATTACTATTACATAAACTACATAAACAGAGACATAATTAACTATGTCTCTTAGGCTGGATTCTGTAGAGAAGCAAAACTTGTGAAGCAGAGAGAGAAAAATTTCAAGAAAATAGCTCACACAATTATGAGGCTGGCAAGTCCAAAATTCCTGGATCAGGAATCATGCTTGAGACTTCTTCTGATTTACATGTTGTGGGGGCTGACAAACCCAAAATGGCCAGGTCACATGACAGGATGTTGGCTCACAAGTCTGCAGAAGCTGGCAAATCCCACAATCAGCAGGTCACATGGCAGGCTACTGCCTCACAGAGCTGCAGAAGTGGGTGTATTCCAAAATTGGCAGATGAGATGACAGGCTGCTAACTCAAGTCCTAAGAACTGGAGGTAAGAGGATGATCGACTGGATGGAGGATCCGGAGCAAGGGAGAGCCTTCACAGAGCCTCTGTATATATTTTGAAGGCAGGTCAGACCCTCGAAAGATCTCTTTCCATCAGAGTCAAAGTGTGACTTGACTAAGGGCATGACTTAAGTAACAGTGGGATTTTATTAAGGGTGGAACTAGAGTCATGCCCTTTTGTAAGGCTATCACTCCAAATATACCTCACATTAATCCTACTCCATTAATGTAGAGAGGTTAGAATTACAACACATAAAATGGAGGAAAATTACATAATATCACAAAATGGAGGATAATTACATCAGATCACAAAACATAGAGTTAACTCCAATATGACATTAACTAGATTACATTCTGAAATGAAAACATCATCAAAATTATTCCCAATGCTCTGAAACTCAGTAAGTCCAACAGAAGTTTATTTGGAACGCCCCTACTGAGTGTATTTTGTAAGTGGCTAAGATGAGAAACTTATGAACCCTTATTTTTGAGGATGTCAACTTGCTTATGGAGTGGCTTTCTGATTTCTGCCTCCAGGTGGACAAATCTCAGTAAGTTTTGGAGTACACCCAAGAGAAAAAAGATAAATAAAATTACCCATATGGTTAGCATGCTGTCTAGTTCTGTAAACATGCAACAAATATCAAAAGTTATAAACATGTTAAGCACCATTCTATCCCAACTGTGCCCTTAAATGGTTGCACAGCTTGTAGGTTAATTGTACATTAATACAAATTCATAATGATAGATAATGCTTAATTGCATATGATTAAATGCTTTATTTTGGAATGCTACTATTCTTCCACTTGCTAACAATGAAAAGGTGAATTCATTACATGTTACTGAGAATCTTTATGCTCTAATTAAAAATAAATTAAGGAAAGGCTCATAAACTCTGTGAAAAAGAGAATTAATCAATGACAGTGTCCATGCACAGGCAATGGAATTGGAATTAGTGATAATTTCCAAAAAATATAGTCTTTTAAGAAGAAGTACAGCTGTTATTTCAGAATTACAATCTTTATTGAGCCACTACAACAGATTGAATAGGGATAAAGAGGCACTTCATGTATTATCTGATAGATTTCTGAAAAAGAGTTCAGGGACAGCTAAAAGCAGAAAAATGTTAAATGTATGTGAATTGTTTACTAATCATGATTTTTCAAAAAAAATATGTAACTTCAAAGCATTCTGGAACAAATAGCTCAGGGAATCCAACTGTGCAAAAACAGTATGGACTATTATAACGTTAAACTCAGTACATCTGTTTGGCTGGAACATTAGAGCTTGTGAATTAGGTTGTTAAAGGCACGAATGAGAGATCAATTTTATAGGAGTTTTGTTGCATAAAACTCCCTTGTCCTCCCTCATCTCCATTTCTATGTACATCTCCCATAACCGACATACTTTAAAATAATTGGAGTTTGATTTTGGAAGATCTGTATCTTTAATTTCTTGGCAATGACTCTTGATATCATTTGGGTCATGGGGAACACCTATGACTCATTCATGTTGTATGTAATTTATTTGTTATTTACATGCAAAGGGCAGTCTTAGAATTATTCTCATTTTTCTCTAATCCTATGAAGTATAAATATTTACAATCATGAAAAGTCCTTGAAGAGATTAAATATATGTTTATTCATCAGCAAACATTTACTAGCACCTCCTGTTTCAGGAGAGAAGGAAGGAAAGGAAAACAAAGAATAGCTGCATTAACTGATACAATAAATGTTTCTTGGTATAAAATGTGCCATGCCTGGCCTAGACGTTTTGAATATGGTGTTAAATAAGAAAGAAACAATCCATACCAGAGAGTTCAATATCATGTAAATGAGCCATAACTAAATTGTGACCAAAATAAACCATTTCTGATGACAGGAGCAGAAAGAATACTGGAAAAAGTAAAGAAGGAAATTTCCTTTTGTAGTTTTTTTAAAGATCAAATAGCTCCACAGATACTAATGATGAGTAGAAAGAGGCCCTTTAGGAGTGATAGAAATACTGAGGATAACATGGTAGCTGCAGCCCAAGAGTTAGCGTGAGAGGTAACCCGCTGATTTTGAGATTCCAGGACAAATTTTGGAAGAAAATATAGAAGTCCTCCCACTGCCAAATGAATCACACTGTAATAAAGAATCACATTCTCAATTCAAACAAAAGTTAGACATTCTTCTCTATTGAATTAGGCAACAAAAGAGATTGTTGGTGAGAGATCATCTCTTTAAGATTTCACTTAGAAGAATAATTCCAAAAAAATCCATTTTAAGAGTGAAGATAGTATATATATATATATATATATATATATGAAATTTAACAATGATATATCCACAACGCTCTAAAGGAATCAAGCCTTGGAATGCAGTAGCTAAAGCCATTCCTTTCTAATATTATCTGATATTTCACTTTCAATTTGAATATAACAAAAATGATATTGGCTAGCTCTGTTGTTTACTCA